CCTGTAGCTGCTTTGAAATGGCTCCAAGTGACTTCCCTGACTTGTTCAAGTCAATGATTCGCTTTTTCAGATCACTCTAATCACTGGGTCAAATGAGCCCTATTTAAATGGGCTCATGAGAAGCCAACAGCTGTAGTCAATCAGAATCACTTACAAGAAGTGAAGAGGCCATGACATGAAGCTAATTTGATTGACACAACTCGCTACATCACCAAAATTGACAAATTTTGTTGCTGTATGTATATTTTTAACCCAGCAGATTTGGTGACATTTTCAGCAGACCCATAATAAATTTATGAAAGAACCAAATTTTATGACTGTTTTTTGTGACAAACATGTATGTGTTCCGATCACTCTATCACAGAAAAATAAGAGTWGWAGAACTTATTGAAAACTCAAGACAGCCATAACATTATGTTTTTTTACAAGTGTATGTAAACTTTTGACCACAACTGTATATGATGTTCACCTGCATTATACTATGTACTGTAGCAGCTCTTTAAACTCACCAGGAGTACAGTTTGACAATCAACTAGTTTCACAGAACACAGTTCAGTTTTGTAGTACACAGGTGGTGCACTACAGGTGTGTTGGTTTGTTCTCTCTAATGTTAAGCAATGAGCATCAGAAGCATTGTAATGTGTGTGAGGGGGCATTAGTGGGGGTCTGGGGGTCCTCCCCCAGAAAATGTTGAAATTAGTAGATGCAGTTTCCTGCATTCTGGTGTATTTTACCAGGTTCCCAAACATACCTTACATACATAAAAAACACTTGATTAAATAACTAAATTAGAGACAGATTTTAGTTGAATCATCCTGTTTTTAAACTCACTGCTGTGGCTCAGATAATGAAATTAAGGTGACAATTTATCCTAAACAATGACTTTAGAGGAGAATTTTACTTTTATATTGTTCTTGTTTTAGTTTTATTTGTAACATGTCATTGTGCCAAGCATGTTTAAAATATTAACTACACAATGAACAGATTGGGGGCCTTTATTTTTCTGATTAAATGACGGGTATACTCATAACAAACTGACATGACATCATGCAGCCTTTTACCATAATGACACTGTGTCAAACAGTGGTCATTTAAAATATAACTTTCATCAGTTTTATCATCCTGTAAATATTAAGAAAAACTGATACATGGATGTTTGGAACTGATTAGAAATCTAATAATGGATGAATTGACAGATTTATTTATTGACCTTTATTTAACCAGGCAAATCCTAATTATGAAAACAATTTCTACCACTTTCTAAAAATAAAACTTAAATAAAGTCCCCATGAGAATAGAAGAACAAACACGTGTGAATGCTGCACCGCTCCACTCTGTGTGTCACAGAGAAAAAGGAAGGGAGGGGGGAGTGGGCTGTCTTTTCTCATTGCTGCTGCAACTCTGTGGGAGCGTCAGAACTAACAGAAGTTCATCATCAGTTTTGATCAGAGATTTTTCTTGTCCTGTCCCCTGTTCTAACTGCACCCATGGGACTGGCCCATTAATGATGCGGCCCAGCGGGAATCGTCCAGATTCTCCTGATTTCCCACTCCGCCCTTGCCTTGTCTCCTTCATTGGCACAGAATTACCTGTTTGGAGTTTGCAGGAGAGCACCAAACATGGGACACTGAAAGGTGGAAGGAAATTTTAGTCTCTGATGAGAAAAAAAATTGACCTTGATGGTCCTGGTATGGCTTCCAGTGTTACTGACATAACAAGGAGAGATGGCACGRCACAATGGAGGGGCCAACATGATCTGGGGTCTTTTTACTTCAATGAACAACAGTGCTTCCGGTTGTGCCAGAGGCATCAAACGGCAGCTGGCTATGTGGAGATGTTGTAGGGGGTATCCCTCATGACTCAAGACCACCGTCTGCGTGGTAATGATTGGGTTTTTCAACAGGACAATACTACAGTTCATAATGCCCGTCTGACAAAGGACTTCTTCCAGAGAATATCACTCTTTTGGACCATCCTGTGTGTTCCCCTGATCTAAATCCAATTGAGAACATTTGGAGTTTGATGGCAAAGGAAGTTTACAAAAATGGACACCAGTTCCAGACAGTGGATGCCCTCTGTGCCCTATGTGGTTACCTAATGGAATGGTCTTTACATATTCTTTTCTATTTCAGGCTCATAAGTCAACCATCTGGCAGGTGAGACATTTRCCCCAAAACAGAGACATCTTTATGACTGCAGGGGGAGCAGGAAACCTGCATCTATGGAAGTAGTAAGTAACCATCTTCAACATCACTTCACACATTGGCTGTGTCCAAAACGACAGGCCGGGTCCTCCGGAGGACCCAGACTACCTGGTCTCGGCGGGCCGGGTCCTTGGTAGACCGGGAAGACCGGAAAAAAAGAGGATGTGGATTTGGACGGTCTAGCCT